TTTTGAGACAGACTCTCACTATGTCACCCTCAGTAGAGTGCTGTGGTGTCACAGCTCACAGCAACCTCAAACTCTTGGGCTTAAGCAATTCTCTTCCCTCAGCCAAGTAGCTGGGACTACAGGCACCTGCCACAACGCCCGGCCATTTTTTTGGTTGCAGTTGTTGTTGTTTAGCTGTCCCTGGCTGAGCTCAAACCCACCAGCCTCGGTGTATGTGGCTGGTGCCCTATTCACTGAACTACAGGCACCATATCTGCTTTTTTTTTTGGCCAGGGCTGGGTTTGAGCCCGCCACCTCCAATATATCGGACTAGTGCTCTACTCCTTTGAGCCACAGGCACTGCCCAACTTGCTTTTTTTTTTTTTAAGAGACAAGGTCTCACTATGTTGGCCAGGTTGGAAGGTAGTGGCTTCACAGGTACAGTCACAGTGCCTGTAATTCGTGCTCAGCCTCCAAAGTAGCTGGAACTCCAAGTGCACACCACCATGCCTGGCTGAACCATACCCTAAAGATGAGGCTAGGCATGGTGGCTCATGCCCATAATCCTATTACTTCATAAGGCTGAGGCACGAGCATCACTGGAGGCCAGCAGTTCAAGACCAGCCTGGTCAATAACGAGATCTTGTCTCTATAAAATTAGTCAGACATGGTAGAATATGCCCATAGTCTCAGCTACTCAGGAGGCTGAGGCAGGAAGACCATTTGAGCTCAGAGGTTGGAGCTTACAGTGAGCCATAGTGATGCCACTGCAGTGTAGCCCAGACAACAGGGCAAGACTGTCTCAAAAACAAAATGGTTATGATGGTTAAGTTTTATGTTATAAATATTTTACTTCAATTTTTTAAATAACAAAAAGAGCTAAGTCTGAGAAGTGCCTGGCATGCAGGAAGGTCCTGATGGGAACCCAAGTGAAGTTCACAGCAACCTCAAAGTCCTGCTTTAAGAGATCCTCCCTCCTCAGCCTCCCAGAGTGGTGGGATACAGGTGTGAGCCACCACGCCCAGCGAGTGGTGTCTTTATAAGATGATGAGAGGCGAAGGGGAGAACACCACAGGAAAACAGACAGGAACTGCAGTGACACAGCCATAAGCCAAGGACTCCTAGAGCCACCAGAGCTGAGAGAAGGAAGGAAGGACCCTCCGTGAAAGCCTTCAGGGGGAACACAGCCTGCCCACACACTGAGTTCAGACTTCTGGCCTCCAGAAGTGAGAGAGCACACTTCTGTGCTTGCTGCGGCCCAGTTGTGACGGTTGATTAGAGCAGCCCCAGGGAATTGTCAGAGGCAGCAACTTCAGAGCTATAGCAGACCCTTCACCCCCCTGTCTGCCAGCTGCCACCAAAGCCAGGCTGAGGGGCCCCCATGCCAGCCCGGGCGCCTCTCCAGGGTCCTCCCTGGGGAGAAAGGGCGCCTACCTTCATACGGAACACCTTCTTCCCACTCCGAATGGCGTTGTCCTCAAAGGAGAACTCGTTCTCGCGGATCACCGAGCGGCTCTCCTTGTCCCCCGTGTAGGTGACCACGTAGAAGTCGGGCGCCCACATCTCAAACTCACGTTCCCAGTTGATGATGGTGGACAGGGGCGCACTGACCAGGTAGGGCCCCTTGGAATGGCCCTGGAGAGAGCAACAGAAGCAGTGAGACTGCTCAACTGCCCTTGGCTGGCGCCGCTGTCCCCCCCAGCCGCCCACCCCACCTGCCCACCTCCTTGTACAGGGAGTAGAGGAAGACGATGGTCTGCACTGTCTTGCCCAGACCCATCTCGTCGGCCAAGATGGTGTCGGTGCCCTGGGCCCAGGAGAAGCGCAGCCAGTTGAGGCCTTCCAGCTGGTACGGGTGCAGCGTGCCCCCGGTAGAGTCGATGTACCACGGCTGCTTGTCAAACTTGACTGTAGGCTGCAGGAGAGACAGAGGTTCAAGCACACCCCAAAGCCCAGCCCGCTGGAGGCCACCCAACAGGCCTCTGCATGTGTGGTCCCATTCCTGTCTTCCTAACTCTTTTTCAGGTCTCGCTAGAATGCCTCTTCCTCCAGGAAGCCCTCCCTGACTCCTAGCCTGGCTTAAGTGCTCCTACGATATCCTCCCCCCACAGTGGCTGGCCCTATACATCTTCTATCAGGGAAAGTTCCTGATGCCCAAATTCCCTGACTTTCAGCCTAGCGCTCAGTACCACACTGGTACTGTTCACTGCTTCCTCCTAGCCCTGTGCCCAGGATGCGGTGGGCACTTATTCAATATGTGTTGGATCAACAACAGAACGGATTCACGTCTGGGGCATGCTCCATGCCTCTGTGCCTGCCATGGCTGGTCCTCAACATTTGCCTCTGATCCTACAGCTCAAGGCTACCTCCCCCAGGTAGTCCTCCCAGGGGACAAGACCGTTTGCATCTGACAGGCATCTGACAGGTGTCTGACAGTCCCCAGATTTTGTTTTCTTTGTGTACTCATCATGGGCCCAAAGGCGAGCCCAGGGCCAGGTGCTGGCACACACTCAGAATGCTTTGCTAAATGAATTGTCCTGGGGTTCCTCCCAGGTAAGAATGGCATGTCATCAGCTGTGTGTGAGCAGCGCTTTCTGCTGCCCCAGCCCGCACAGGCCTGACTCAGTGTGCATAATCCAGGAGGGCCCAGGAAGCACCAAGCTGGGCACGGATGGGCCCTGGGAACCCCACCTAAGTGCCCTGCACTCCCACTCACGTCCACGATGGGTGTGTCCGGCGGCTTCTCCTGCTTGTCGTCCCGCAGCTTCTTGCCCTTCTTGATCAGCCTCTTGGGCAGCCTAGCGTCCTCCCCCAACATCAGCTCCCTGGGAAAGGGCGTTAGATGCGATGAGCAAAGCTGGGGCCAGGAGGAGGGCCCCAGCACTGGCGCCAGCAGCCCAAACCCTGCGGCCCACCTGTGGCCCCAGTAGGCCTGCTTCAGGTTGTCGTAGTAGGGGATGTCGATGTCGTCGATCTCCCACGTGCACTGGTCGTAGGGCAGGTCTTTCCACTTGATCAGGTAGTGCACGTCCCCCTTCTTATCGAAGCTGCAACAACAGATGAGGGGAACAGCAGGTCACTCAGGGCAGTGGCCACACATGGGTCTTACCAAAACCATCTGCAAAACCACTCATGCCACGGTCCCCTGGGATCCTGGCCCCACCAGGGCAGCAGCTCCAGAGAGGTGCAGAAGCTTGCCCAGGGCCACACTGCTAGTTAGAGTGAGACGAGAGTACCTTGTAACTGGCAAAGCCAGAGAAGGACACTAAGAGGCTGTGCCAACAGAGTGGCAAAAAGCCAGTATCCAGGCTCGGCGCCTATAGCTCAACCGGCTAAGGCGCCAGCCACGTACACCTAAGGTGGCGGGTTCGAATCCCCAGCCCGGACCCGCCAAAGACGCTGCAAGCAAAAAATAGCCGGGCGTTGTGGCGGGCGCCTGTGGTCCCAGCTACCTGGGAGGTGGAGGCAGGAGACTCGCTTGAGCCCAGGAGTTGGAGGTTGCTGTGAGCTGTAATGCCACAGCACTCTACCCAGGGGGACAGCTTGAGGCTCTGTCTCAAAAAAAAAAAGAGCCAGTATCCAGCCTCTGCTACAGGGATGAACCCTACCCCATCATGGGGTCTAGAAGCAGGAATCAACAGTGGTTGGGAGCTCTGGACCGTGTTCTGGATGGCAGCCCGAAGGGAAGGGCCCCAGTGCCCTGCCCCATGCTGGTTTCACAGAGTGAAGGAGCCGCCGCGCCCCAGGCCCGTGGGCACCCGCCCACAGTGTTGCCCAGGGCACCCCCGCCCACACGCACCTGTGGTTCAGGATACGGTGGATCATCATCCACTCGGGCTTGATGCCGTAGCGGTAGAAGCGCTCCTCCATCTTGGCATAGAGGGGGTCTTTGTTCTTCCTCTTCTCACTCTTGCCGTCCTCGTCACCGGAGCCGTAGTCGAAGGGCGGCGGCTCGTCCATGTCATTCTTCCTTTGGTAGTTGCGGTACATCACCGTGTGGTATAGCTCCAGCTGCTCCAGGGCAGGGGACGTGTGTCCAGTCACGGAGGGAGGGGGCCACGGCCCCTTTCCCAACACAGCACTTCACCCCTAGCCCAGGTCCCAGGCACGAGAGGCCTGACCCCCAGCCTCGCCCTCCTCAACTCCCAATGCCCGTCACTCGGCCCCTTCCCACCAACACTAGAGAGTTCCAGGGGCTCACACAGGGCACTGAGCTCTGGCACAGGTGCCTCACCTGCAGCTCCTTCACCCAGGAGCAGTGCCAGTAGGAGAGCCCAGCCCACTTGACAAAGAACTCTCTTTCCGGGATGCCCTCCAGGGGCTTGGGCGGCGGTATGCCAGGCTCCACCTCGGGTCCTGGCAGCCCCACCATGAAAGGGGCCGGGGGCTCTGTCCACTTCCAGTGTAGAATCCGTTGGACTTTGCCCTTCAGTGGGGGGCACTGTGGACAGAGGAGGGCCCCCAGGTTTAGGCCTTAGCCACTAGGCCCTGCCCAGACATTCCCAGGACAGCAGGCTGTCACATGAGCTCCCTCCAACTGGCTGCACTGTCCCCAGGTCGGAGGAGCATGGCAGTAACCCCATGACAATCCAGATGGAGCATGCACATTCTGTGCACACAGGAGGTGGCCAGGGAGGAGGACAGGAGAGTGGGCAGCCGAGCCCAAGATTTTGTTTTCTTTGTGTATTTTGGGGGGTTTTTTTGAGACAGAGTTTCATTTTGTTGCCCTTGGTAGAGTGCTATGGCCTCACAGCTCACAGCAACCTCAAAACTCTTTGGCTCAAGCGATTCTCTTGTCTCAGCCTCACAAGTAGCTAGGATTACAACCACCTACCACAACACCCAGATATTTTTTGGAGACCCAGGGTCTGGTACTTGCTCAGGTAATCCACCCACCTCGGCCTCCCAGAGTGCTAGGATTACAAGCATGAGCCACTGCGCCCGGCCAGAGCCCAAGAACCCCTATCTGTGGGGTTTCCTGCTACTCTACCTCTTACTAGAGCACCCTGAGGAAAGGGCACATCTGTCATGACCTTGAGCACCCATGGAGTGTGACCCCCCTGCCTGAAGCTCAGAGACAGAGTAGCCCTGCCCACCAGCCCTCACCCAGACATGGCTGTACCCAGGCACCGGAGACACACTTCAGGGGCCCTCATGTGTTCCAGGGTCCCAGAGAGCCGCTGACTGGCAAAGGTCACGAACACCACCCTCTGCGTGCCCAGCACACTACCCCAAGATGTGTCAGGGCAATACTGGCCCTCAAGAGCCAGTTCTGAGCCTGGCTGGACCAGGGTAGGGGAGGACAGACTCAGGGAGGTAGCTCTGTCAGGGAAGGCAGGTCCCAGCTCTGCACCACCTACCCTTGGAACCTTGTGCAAGCCTCCTGAGCCCGTCTTCTCATCTATAAAACCTCTCTTCCCCTCCTAGGACCATTGGGGAGGTCAAATCACATAGGAAGGACCAAAAAGCCCCAGAGCTGACCTTCCTTTGCCCTTAGTGACAGCAAAGGCTGGGAGGCAGAGGAGGAGGAGGTGAAGGGAGGGCAGGAAAAGAGCCTTCTCCACTGGCTCTGAGGGGAGTATGGAAGGGCACCCTTCCTTCCGAGACCTCAAGGCCTCACCCCACCTGCCTCTATCTGTACCTTGCAGGGAAGGCCCTGGACGGACCTTAGCCCCTACTCCCCTCCCAGTCCAGGACCACCCACCAATTCCAAGAAAGCACAGAAGGCTGCACCCAAGAAAAGGGCCCTCCCCATACGCCTACACAGACGCGGACATGCACACATGCACGTGCACACACAACACAGCCCAGATACACATGGGATGACAGAGGGCTAACCATAGCACAGCCCAGGACCCAGGGGCATGGGGGACCCAGCATTGGGGGTGAGTCAGGAAGACAACTCAGATGCCTGCTGTGATTGGGGGTGAAGGGTGGGAGCATGGGGGGCACTCCCCTCTCCTTGCAGAAAATGAGGCTTCGGCCTCATGAGCCTCCTACCCTCTCCACCCCCAGCCTCAGGACAGGAAGTAGGTCCAGGGTGGCGCTAGCCACCTGGGTCTCAGTGGACAGTTCTGCCACCGTGTGGCCTGAGGCAAGTCACTTTACTTCCCTGAGCCTCAATTTTTTCTTATCTAAAAATGGAAATAAACATGGTACGAGAATACTTGGTGAAGTTAGGGGAACACTGTGCGTGAAGCACTTGGTGCAGGCAAGTGCAGGGCTGTGGTGTCAGCATGACCACACCTGTCTTTCCATGGTGCTTCCAAAAGAAACTGCTCCTTAAGATTGGGGTGGGGATTTGGAAGCAGAGGGGGCCTGAGAGAAGGGGAGGGGTGGGGCTGGGTGCCCCAAGAGGGGTGAACGGAACTTTGTGGGAATAGACGGGGCGGACCTGAACTGCCAGCGGCGCGGTCTTGCCAAGGAGCCCACCCCACCCCCATCCCTGCCAGGGGCAGGTTTGTCCCTGGAAAACCGAATGGGGTTTTGTCAATTGGGAGGCCTGTCCCAGGCAGGCAAGGTGGGGCCTGAGCCGTTGTAGATGGACCCTTGTCAAGGGGTCCCCTTGGAGGGAGGGGCTTGTCTCCCTGGTGGGCGGGGCGTTCGGCGCGGGGTGGCGCGAGCGGAGCACTCACAGTACAGCGCGGGCAGAGCCATTCACCGTTTGGGATCTCGGCCAGCGGCGGGTTGAGGCAGTGCAGATGGTAAGAGGACGGGCAGGCATCACAGCACAGCAGCTCACCACCGTCCTTGCACACGCGGCAGAACTCCATGTGGTCATCCTCCTCCTCCTCGCAGCCGCCCTCCTCCTCCTCCTCGTCATCCTCCTTAGGCTCCCACTGGATCCCCTCCTTCTCCTGGAACAGGGAGCCCAGGTGGAGGCATCGTGAGCCAGTCCCCCCACACTAGGCCCTGACTCCCTCCTGTCCCCACAGCACCTCCCCCCATTCTGCTCCCAGGTGACATTCTGCTCTGGGGCCAGGAAGCCAGGTGTGGACCACCCCCCAGCTGACCTCTACCAAGGCTTACACAGTGCGGGCAGCTCCACTTGCCCTCGGGAGCCTTCTCCAATTCTGGGTCGAGGCAGACTAGATGGTAGGCCCGTGGGCAGGTGTCACACAGGATGATCTCACCGCCCTGCTGGCACACCTCACAGTAGTCCTGGTGGTCCGTCTCATAGCCATCACCATCATCAACTGGGGTGGGAGAGAGGCAGTCATGCGGGGGCTTGTGCCTGCTCCCAGTGCACAGCAGTCTCCACCACCTCGGCCAGGCACGTGGTATGTGCTTGATAGGTGATGGATGGGTGGGTGAAGCAGTGGGCTGAACAAATGGGGGGATGGCCAAGGCAGTAAAAGGGTCAAGAGATGCACAGAAGATGGATAAAAGGAAAAGAGGAAGGAGGGCAGGGAGGGAGAGTGGGTGGGTGAATACACAGACAAATGGACGGATGGACAAAGGAGAGAAGGAAGGGATGGAGGAACCAGGATGGGGGTGAGGGCACAGGTGGGCATTGAGAGGACGGGGAGAGGGGTGGGTGACTGAATGAGAATTGGACGAGATGAAGCGGCACTTCCCGCTCCCCAACTGCCAGCACAAACGCCCTGGGTGGCTCAGACCACAGGTGCCTTGTTCTTTTTCTTTCCTCACTGGGACAGGACCCGCGTGTGCTAACAGTAGAGACCAGAGCAGTGGAGGAAGCACTGGGAGCACGAGGATGCCCTTCCCCCGCATGTCCTCCCGGCACCCCCGGCAACCCCGGCAACCCCGGCGGAAGCCCTACTCCTCTTCTTCTTGCGACGCCTCTTGCTCTTCTTGCCCAGGGCCGTGGAGCACTCAGAGCGCATGGAGGAGCTGTGGATGCTGGCGCTGTCGAAGTCCGACTCCTCCCGCTCGTCCTCCTCACTCTGCAGGGGGTAGGGGAGAGGCCTGTGAGTGCAGGGCGTGGGGCAGACCCAGTTCCATCCCAATGGGCTCTACCCAGGGGGCTTCACTGGTCTGGGCAGGCAGGGATGGAGGAGGGCACAGAAAAGGCTCCGGAGACTCAGTGCTCCCTGTAGCTCGCATTGTCCCCCCACCCAGCTAGAAATTTTTTTTTTTTTTTTGGAGACAGAGTCTCATTATGTCGCCCTCAGTAGAGTGCTGTGGCGTCACAACTCACAGCAACCTTCAACTCCTGGGCTTAAGCGATTCCCTTACCTCAGCTTCCCAAGTATTTGGGACTACAGGCACCAGCTAGAAATCTTAAGCCACAGCCCAGCACAGCAGTCCAGTCCAGCCTGATGTCTCAGCTCACCCCAAGCCGTGCCCTCCAGCCCTCAGACATTTCCCATGTTTTCTGCCTCCATCCTGCCAAACTTCTACACATCCTTCACGGAACAGCCCTAAGGACACCTACCCCAAGAAGTTCCCCAGATCTCTCCTTTACAGGACCCGCCGCACAGCCTGTGTGCCAGGTGTGCCTAACATAGCATGGGCTCTCTGCCAGTGAACATGCCTGCCACATTATGAGTGCTGCAGGAGCAGGGACCACCACAACTGAGCAGAGGGCCTGGCACCTGCTGGGTGCTCAACAAATATCTGCCGAGCTGAGCTGGACCCCAACTTCTGCTCCATGCTCCCCTCTACTGCAGGCTGTGTAATGGGCTGCCAAGAGGCAGAAATACTAGGCCCATCTCTGCTCCCCTGCAGGGCTGGGTGAGGGAAACAGCTTCCCTGTGGGGATGAGGAGGGTGAATGCCCCCTACAGCCCTCCAAGGCTAAGACATAGGCTGAGGGTCTGAGCCTGGGCCCAGAGATGACCCTGGGGGTGAGGTGGGGTGCCAATCAGGGCTCTAGCCAGCTCCCATGGACCCACCAGGACTCCAAGCAGCCAGCTGATTCTCTGCCCACTGCTGGGGGAACAGCAGCTGTGGACACGAGAGCCAGGACTGAGCTCCCAGCTTGGGAGAATGGGCAGGAGAGAGCTCCCTGCCTAAGTCCAAGCTAGAGAGACCCTTGGAAGGATCCCATCTAAACCCCTCAGCAAGCAAATGGGGAAGCTGAGTCCCAGCAGGCCCACAGGTAGAATGCAGAGCATAGTGGAGGGATACGGGACCCAGCTAGGTCAGGAGAATGACCTAAAGACTGCCTTCCAGGGTCACCCCAGCCGTGCACACGCAGGCCCCACACTCATTCACCAAGAAGCCTTTCTTCCTGAAGACCCGCCTTCCAGGGTCACCCCAGCCCATGCACACGCACGAAGGCATGCACGCACGTGCGCACGTGCCACGTACACGCAGGCCCCACCTGTGCACACACACGCACGCACCCGTGCACACGCAGCCCCGCCCGTGCACACGCGCGCCCATGTACACACAGGCCCCACCCGTGCACACGCAGCCCCGCCCATGCACACACAGCCCCGCCCGCGCACACGCGCGCCCATGTACACACAGGCCCCACCCGTGCACACGCAGCCCCACCCGTGTACACACAGCCCCGCCCATGCACACGCAGCCCCGCCCGTGCACACACAGGCCCCACCCGTGCACACACACGCATGCATGCACGCGCCCGTGCACACGCAGGCCCCACACTCACACACCGAGGAGCCTTTCTTCCTCTTGCTGCTGATCCCTCCAAAGCGGAACTTGAGCCCAGCCACCTTTTTCCCCTTGCCCTTTTTCTTCCCATCTTTGGAGCCTTTGATCTTCTTCCTCACTCCAGGGCCTGGAAAACAACGGTAACCATAGCCACTCAACAACAAGTGCCACTCACTGGCCACTTCTCACCATCATGTCACCAAGGGCCGTTTCTGCCATCAGCCCTTTCAGATGGGGTGGCTGAAGCTCAGGGAGGTGAAGACCTTGCTTAAAAATCATATAGCAAGGAAAAGGAAAAGCAGAGTCTGTCTGCTCTGGCCACTGCACTGCCCCTCTTCCACAAATACCAGCAATGCTAGTCCCCTGGGGTAGAGCCCCTACACTGTCCATACCCCCCAAAACAAGCTGACTCCAATGGAGCAAGCAGCCCCACGGTCAGCAGGGCCACAAGGGCACCTCTGCCCACCTGTGGTCCATGCCTGGACCCAGAGAGAAGTCCTGGGGCCAAAAGCCCTTTTCCCAACTGCCAGCCTCTGCCGGCACCACCAGAAGCCACCCCCAACTCTGCTGGTCACCCAGGAAAGGCCAGCCGTTTGTATAGGGCTGCCACAGGGCAATTAGCCACTTGGGGAGTAATGACTCCCCTGCCCCAGCCTCTTCAGCTCCCAGGCTGAGCAAGGAGTGGGGCCTGGAGGCAGGAACGCACACACTGCAGAGGTGGACCCGCCCAGGCCCTCCTCCAGCCACACCACATACAGGGACACAGAGCTGGAAACCCAGCTATACCCTCGGTGGCGCCACAGAAAATCTATTTCAATTTTCCAGGCTCTGAATAGGCAGCTCAGGGAATCAATAGCTTGGAGGTTGAAGCCCAAGAGGAAATGAGAGGGCAAGGCAGGCTGGGCAGGTAGGGACAGGCCAGGAGCCCCTGAGACCCTGCTGATCTGGATGGAACAGGACACAGAGCTGGCTCTGATCCTCTCCAGGACCCCTTCAGAGACCCGGCAAAGGGGGCCAGACACAGCACCCCAGCATCATACCAGAAACCAAAGTTCCTTGGGGTTGAAACAAGGGGTCCCCAGTGTCCCTGCACTCCCCATCAAAACCCAGATCAGGGCACCCAGGAAGGCTGAACTGCTGAGTGGCAATCCTGGGACATCAATGTCCCCACCTCCTAGAAGCCAGAAACCTCCAGCCAGTAAGTTATAAAGGCCTCTGCTTCCCCTCTGTTCCCACCCAGACACCCCACTACTGAGTTGGGTTTAGGATCTAGACCTACTTCCAGTCCACATCCAAAGCAGAGACCTGGGAAGCCAGTCCTGACCACACCCATCCCCCTGCTCAAATCTCTGGCATTTTCCTGGATCCTAAATCGGGAAGGGCAGAGACCTGACAGTCCCTGCAGCCCTGAGGGCCTGGAGAAGCACCTTGCACACAGTGGTGCTCAGATGAAAGACTATACTCGGGCCTTGTCCTCCAGAAAGGCCTGCAACTCACAGGCCTCTTGGGTAGAGAGCTCCACGCTGCAGGCCTCCCCCACCCTCCTGCAGCCCAAATCCAGGGGCCTCCTGGGCTGGCCCAGCAAAACCCCCTGCAGCTTTGCCCACATCATCTTCTCTGCTTTTCCACTACTCCCAAAAGACAGGCAAGGGAAAAGCTACAGAGCCACATCACTGCCCAGAAAGTGCCCTTCAGCCCACAGTCACGCTGGCACGAGGTCCTCAGCAAGGGGCACCCCAGCTACCCCTCCTGCCCACGCCTGCCCTACCCTCCCCAGGGCCTATGGCCTATGGCGTCTCCCACAGGGTCTGTGGGAGCCCCTGCCGGGCAGGACTCAGGGCACACCCACCCTCAGCCTCACCCTTGCCCTCTTTGGTCTTGGCCTTGCGGACAGGCATAGGCTGGGGTGCCTGCTGGGGGCTGACAGCCAGAGGAGGGGCGATGGTGACTGTCTCTACAGCCGCAGCAACTGCTGCAGCAGCCGCGGCCGCTGAGCTGCCCTTGAAGGGGTTGTTGGCACTGAACTCCCGCCACTTGGCACCCAGGACTGTCATCATTTTGGACATGGGGATCTTCGGGTTCTTCTTAGCGATGAGTGGCCTGTTGGGAGAGAGACAAGGGGGTGAGGGGGGGTGCAGAGGAGACACTGCTTCTGACCTGTGGCACTGGCTCCAGGTTCCTGGTTAGAGAAACCCGGTGGAGGAGGGGGACAAAGCTGCAACGACAGTCCACCCCCCAAATGCTCCCACTCCCCGGCCCACACAATTCTGAATCAGATCTCCAGACCTGGTAACACCTGAGAAGCCAGAAGGGGGTTCAGAAGGCCTCAGGGTGAGAGGGGCCGTGGCAGCTAAAACCCCCAGGAGTGGCTGGAGTCCCCCTGGGGTAGGCCCAGCAAGGGAAGGCCTGACTATAAAAATAAAAGGAGTCCCTCCACACCTCCTGCCAGCTCTGCCCAGGTCAGTGGGTCAGCCTGATGGTACCCTCACCTGGCACAGGAGCCCGGGCCTCTCTCCCTCTGCCCTTCTGGCCCTGCTCCTGACTTGGTGCCACCCAAGGGAAGCACAGCTCAGCCCCGGCCCACCTGAGGAATTGGCTGAAGGCCTTGTAGTTGGTCAGCGTGTGGTAGTCCTCCTCCGAAAACAGGTAGTCCACATCATCCAGGCCCCACTCAGCCATGAGCTGCCCTGAGGACTTGGGCTCCTGCTGAGACATAAGTCAGAGATAAAATCAGGGGAGGGCCTTCTGACCTGCACCCCAGCCCCAGGGGTTGGGGAGGTCACACCTACAGTTCCCACCTGCCACTCAGAACACCTCAAAGCACAGCTGCCCCTCATCAGATGCCTACTCACAGGGTGCCAGGCCAAATGTTTAACATTAGGGTTGGGGGGAAGGTTGTGTGTACGTCTAGAACTCCCAGCAAGGGAAAGCAGCCACTTATGGAAAGGAAGCCAGACCACCAATCCAGGCTGCTGTCTTGAGAGGCCTGCCCAACCAGCCTCAGGACCCCAGGGCAGGAATAGCCAGGCTCACTCTCCATGTTCACAGAATTTGGGCAGTAGAACAGCACAGCATGGCTTTTAGGAGGGAAGGTGTCCCTGGGGAGGGTGAAGAACTACGGGGCAGTCTAAGGCATGCCAGAGAGACACAGGCTTCTCCAAGGTGCCCCCAGGTACAGCCCCATGAAGGACAGGCCACTGCTGAGTTCTAGGGACAGGAAGGTGCGCCCTGCTGGGGCAGGGACATAGGACAGTGGCCTGACTATGGGCAGAACCCTTAGAGCACCCCTCAGCATCACTTCACTTTCCAGATGGGACGGGGGGGACACTCCAAGGGCACAAGGTGAGCTCTGGAGCTGCCCAGGGATCAGATGACCAAGTGACCATGCAGCTCAGGCTGGCTGGAATCAGACAGGGTGACACTGGCTATGGGCTTGGGCCAGTTCTAATCATGGCTTGGCCACATACCAGTGGTAAGAGGTAGACCAGTTATTTAACCGCTGTCTGCCTTGGTTTCCCCATCTATAAAATGGGGGTAACAGCTGCACCTGCCCCACAGGACAGTGAGTTATCACAGGTGCTTCAACAGGGCAAATCTCCATGTGTAGTTGCTGACACCCAATGCACCCTGCCTGCCTCCTTTCCCCATACCCAGGCAACCCTGAGCTGTTCCCCCACTGCCACTGACCCAACATAGCAATCGGCACATACCACTCCTGGACCGAAGTCCCTGGTCAGGGATGTCATGTGACTTAAGCCAGCCCAATCGAGAGGATTCTGGGTTTCCTGCCTGGACACCTGGGCACGAGAGACCTGCTCTCCAATATACTGGATGTGCCAAGAGGCCCCAAGCTGCTGGGCACCCACTCCCCACAAGGGCGCCTGCCTGAGCCACAGAGGCAGAACAGGATGCAGAGCACCAGCCTGGACGATCCGTGATGTCCCACAACCCAGAAGCCTCCTGCCTCTCAATTCCCAGGGCCCTGGTCCCACAAATCCCATTACTGCCTAAGCCTTGACCTGGGCTTTCTGCTCCTACATTGGAAGACCCCTGGTGGGTCCACAGGGCCTCGCTCCACCCAGAGAGCCTCCCAGAGTGAGAACCGGCCTGCTCGGCACAGCAGGAAGGTGACAGTTCTGAGATGTTCCCATGTGAGGCTCTCCCTGCCTAACCTGCCCCCATGGACACGCAAAGCCATTCATTCCTGGAGGCACACGGGCCCCTCCACCCCTACCCAGGAGAGCAGAGCAGCAGGTGCACGAGATGATTCTGTTCCAGGACAACCCTGAGCTGCTCCCTTAAGTTACTCTTTCAGAACCGTCAGCCCCTTGGCTATCGTCAGTCACCGATGACTCACGGCACATCCACTGACTCACGAATCACCCCGGGTAATCAGGACACCACCACTCAGAACACCCCCTCCCCCAGCAGCTGCCAACATCAGTCATTCACATTCATGACTGTGCTTCACCCAACAGCAACTGTACTAACATTTACAGAGCATTGTGTTTAAATCCAGGGCTAGGCCAGCACAATGGCTCATGCCTGTAATCCTAGCACTGTGGGAGGCTGAGGCAGGTGGATTGCTTGAGCTCAGGAGTTCGAGATCAGGCTGAGCAAGAGCAAGGTCTCATCTCTACTAAAACTAAAAAAACTAGGGCTGCGCCTGTGGCTCAGTGGGTAGGGCACCGGCTCCATATACCAAGGGTAGTGGGTTCAAACCCAGCCCCAGCCAAACTGCAACAACAAAAAAAACAGCCAGGCGTTGTGCCAGGTGCCTATAGTCCCAGCTACTCGGGAGAAGCCCAAGAGCCGGAGACTGCTGTGAGCTGTGACTTCACAGCACTCTACTGTGGGTGACAAAGTGAGACTCTGTCTCTAAAAAAGTAAAATAAAATAAAAAAACTAGCTGGGCGTAGTGGTGAGCACCTGTAGTCTCAGCTACATGGGAGGCTAAGGCAAAGGGATCTCCTGAGCCCAAGAGTTGGAGGTTACTGTGAGCTATGATGCCATGGCACTCTACCAAGGCAACAGAGTAAGACTCGGTCCCCACAAAAATAGAAAAATAGGCTCGGCACCCATAGCTCAGTGAGTAGGGTGCCAGCCACATACACTGAGGCTGGTGGGTTTGAGCCCGGGCCAACTAAACAACATTGACAACTGCAACCAAAAAATAGCCAGGTGTTGTGGCGGGTGCCTGTAGTCCCAACTACTTGGGAGGCTGAGACAAGAGAATCGCTTAAGCCCAAGAATCTGAGGTTGCTGTGAGCTGTGACAGCACAGCACTTTACTGAGGGTAACATAGTGAGACTCTGTTCAAAAAAAAAAAATGGAAAAAGAAAAAAAAATAAATCTGAGGCTAACCCAAACTGAGCCTCAGTGCCTTCCACACATGTAAGAACACGTGTTCCTGGATGACAGTGTCACTGCCCACTGCCCCAGAGCTGAGGCCCAGAAGCCCGTCCACTGGCCTCAGTCCCAGCCCATCTGAGACTTGAGGGGCCTCAAGATGGCCCTAAGCCTACACTCAGTTCACGTCATCTCCCCTTTCCCCAGGGGAGTACAGCATCACCGCCACAGCTCCTCTGCTCCGTGTCCAGTGGGGAACTCTCAGAATGCTACGCTGCAGGATTTCAGAACACCTGCTGAGTAACAAACTTCCTTTTCTACCATAAGCAAAGCTGTCCAATAGCTTTTGGGGGCTTTTTGTGTTTTATTTTCCCAAATTGCTCTAAGTAGAGGTCCCTGACACTAAACCCAAGCTCATATTATCTATCACTCCCCAGAAATAGCTGCGCAATTGTGCAAGCAGGTAGCTGCCAAGAGCAGCCACCATGTCAGCGAGACGCTGCAAGTTTTCCCGCAGATTCCCGCACTCTGTCCTCTGATATAAAGCCCTTGCACAAGCACACACACAGCACACGCACAAGTATACACATGAGCACACACAAGCAAGTGCACAGATACACACAAGTACATGCATGAGCACACACATGATCACATGCACTAACACACATGGACACAGGCAAGCCCATGCACTTCCAAGCACATGTATGAGCACAGATACACAAGCACACACAAGCATGTGTGAGTACATGTGCATGCACACAGAGATACATGGGCATGTGCACAGGTGCACACAAGCACACACACAGAGACACGTGAGCACACAGAAGCACATGCATGAACAGACAGTTGAGCACATGCGTGAGCACACAGGAATGTGTGCTTACACAGGCTCCTGGGTAGAAGGGCAGAGAGCTGATGGGCAGGAGGCTGAGCCCCCCAGGAGGGGCGCCATTCTGTCCCAGCAGCAGACCCTCCTCCCACCTTGCTGCAGACCCTCCTCCCCACCTCGCAGACCCTCCTCCCCGCCTTGCCGCAGACCCTCCTTCCCGGCTTGCCGCAGACCCTCCTCCCCCCTTGCCGCAGACCCTCCTCGCCCCTTGCCGCAGACCCTCCTCCCCACCTTGCTGCAGACCCTCCTCCCACCTTGCTGCAGACCCTCCTCCCGCC